AGATTTGCTAGGATGAAAATGCAGTCCAGGTCGAGCGATGGATATCGTGGTGATGATGTCATTGTCGTCATCGAGCGCCGCGAAAAGATCCAAGTCAATCAACATCAATTGGCACTACGACACAGTGATATTGACTTCAGCCGTGGAAGAAGCATTACATTGCGGTAAGACATCTAGTATTATTAGGAATCTCTGTACAAAATATCATCTTGGACTCTCATTCGAGTTTAGGGTACTCCAGCACTAATCTTGGACAGCATTTTTCAGCTCAAATACTCAGCTTTATAGATCAAAATTAGTACCTAAATATATTGAAAACTTCGTAATTCTTCAGTATCAGTATCTCAATTGGTGGAAAACGACTACGAAGCTTGAGACCAGTATCAGCCAACAACTACATGTTCTTCTGGGCATGACTAGTGAAAAGGTGAAGCTAGATTAATTGGAAGAATGATAATCCAATCCTGGTTAAGAATGCTATTTCTCACAATTACAATTGAACTGAGCAAATGCAGGTATAAGAGATGAGAGACTGAGATAAAAATGCAGAAAAATGAAGTTAAAAGATTTAATACAAATCCTATGCCAAAAGATTTAAAAATAAAATAAAATAACAGAAATACACCGAGAAACGAGGTTGAACGATACTTTACTGTGTAACGAGAAGAGTACTCGCAACACTTGGTACACCCGCCGAGTTGATAACGAACAACATCCAGTACCCAGGCAAAGCAATACCAGAGTCGCTTGGAACCTGGAATGAATAACTGTTACCACTTCCGGTACTTCTCAGACTCAATGGAATACGGCGCTGGTCAGTATTGACTGTATGTGTTGAAGTTCCGTATCGGATTAACGAAGCCTGCTTGATGCTGGTATTTGTCGAGATTGTGATCTTGCCACCGACCTTGACACTCTTAGCAGAGACTTTGGTGATCTTGGGACGTGTCGCCAGCTTTCCACTAGAATCGTAAAGATTGTTTGGTGTATAGATCTGGGCGTCGAAATGGTTGGTGTCGCAATCGCCGCAAAGGCCGCCACCACCGTTGAAAACCCTGCCGTCGGGAAGTAATAAGGAAATACTGTGGTAGACTCGGACAATTGAGTTTGGTTGTTGTTTGTAGAAAGTGTCATCGTTGGGGACGTAGAGCTCTGGTGTAAGCTGAGGAGTTGAGTCGGCGAAAGGAATACCACGCTGTTGACCACCTGTGATGAAAACGTTTCCATCGGGGAGAATGACAGAAGTGTGAAAGGTTCGGGGGTAATACAAGCCGTTGCTCGCGAAAACTGTTTTGGGTGTACTTCCAGGCTCACCGATTGTGATGATGTGAGCGTTAGTTGTGGCGTCAGAGTCTTGGTAGCTTGGGGAACCGCCAAACGTAAGGATCTTTCCTTTGACTGCATCATACATAACAGCGTTTCCGCACATAGCATCTGGATCAGTGCCGCGGCTGGACTGACGTTTACCGGCTGACTTCGTAGCACCACTTCCGCTGGTATAATACCAGTTCATAGCAGTGCTAGGTCCGGCTTGGAATACAGAACCCTTCTTCCAGCCGAAGAGCCATCCGTGGTTATCTGAACGATAGAGGCCTTGTTGATCGGCAGTCAACATTGGCTTGACCAAAGCTCCTGGAAGCGAAGTCCAAGTCTTTGAAGATGGGTCATAGACTTCGCCATTCTTCTCAAAAATACCACCGCTCCATGACCCGCCGATAGTAAATACGCGACCATTTGATAGAGTTGCTGATGACTGGTATCCGCGGGCTACCTTCATATCAGGGCCTGGGATCCAGCTATCCCTAGAGGAGTCATAGAGACTTGTTTTCTCAGCGTTATTTCCACCAGTGACAACAACTTGTCCGTTTCCATCCATGGAGATACCAGGGCAAAACATATCGTGCTTGGTGACAGTCACAGTGCGTTGAGAAATTACACCCGTAGAAGGATCCCAAGTCGAGGTCAAGGTTACGCCGCCAGGGGAGCCTCCGAACGCATCGTTGCGGTAGGAGGACCAAACCAGAACCTTTCCGGATGTTGGCTCAACAGCGGCAGCTACTGGAACGATAGGGAAGTCCAGTGTCGGGCCCCAGCGTCCAAGGCCGGGTTGAGGGCTGGTATAAGAAGCTGCCTTGAAGACGTTGATCTCGGCGATGCTGGTCCAAGGCTGGTCGTTTGCTTCAGTGACAGCGACAAGGCGGACGTAACGAGCAGGACGAGTCTCAAAGTTAGAGTATTTCTCAGTGTTGTCAGCGAACCAAGTTCCAGTCGCGACAGCGTCGCCCCAGTTCTTCCCATCTGTGCTGAGAAAGACGTTGTGACGACCGATCCAGCCGTGATCACTACCGTCCTGGCGAGGAAGAACAGACAAACCATTCACATTTTGAGAAGAGCCCATGTCGATAGTGATGGTGTGAGGAGGCTTTGGGTCATTGGTGCCTCCAGCAGCCCAATCAGTATGCCAGAAGGTGTTGCTGTCACCATCAATGGCCTTGGAACACTCATCTCCCTCATGCTGGCTATCGCAGGTGACTTTCCATTTGTCGCGGCTGATAGCAGTACCGATGGGAGCTGAGGCTCTAAGACTCAAGAATTGCAAGGATCCTTCGGGGGTCTCAGCTTTTGAAGCGGGCTGGGAGATAGCGACAGCGCTAGCGCTCCCAAGATAAAGAGCAAATGTCCAAAAGGACTTCATTGTAGCGAAAGGAATAGAAAAGAATGATAATTATAAGATATGGAGAAGAAGAAAGGTGAATGAATGGAGTGGACTGGACTGGAAGCATCGGCAATTTGGTCGGAGGACAACATATTATTTATTGATTACTCTTCTGGTGCAAGTTTGTTCTAGCAGGACTGACATCAGACGCACAGCCGAGCCGGTAGATCCATCGCACCGCAGGCATCACACCTACCGTACTTTCAGCTCACATGGTTCAGTTCAGCTGGGCGGATCGAGGCAACTACCTTCAATATCGGGTTTACGAAACCAGTCCGTCAATTGGCCAGCAAAGTTCAGAGTATGCTAAGAAAAGAAAAGGGTCTCCTCGTATTGGCTTACAGGTTACACAACAGAATGAGGCCCACCTGGGCTTGTTTGTTTCAGGTCAGGTTAAATTCAGCACGGCGTCTGAGCGCAACCTATTGAGTTAGAGTGGTGAGAGAAAACAAGACTAAAAGTTGACGGGAAGATCGACGGATGGGATTTTGGCTCCACGATGTTTAATTAGTTCAAGCCACAACAGCCATTTCCCCTGACTTGGTGCATATCGGTGTCATGCAAATGTGAGGCTCTGGGGAAATTTCTACGACGACCATGACAAGAGACTGTGAAAAATTAACAGCCATCTTGAGTCGACAGTCAAGAGCCGATCTCCTTAGTCTAGTTTGCAGCTACTAGTAATATTTGCATGATGTAATTGTTACTCTTAGCCATAGGACTATCGATTGTGGCTTCAAAAAGTTCGGTACTTTTTAACACTAAGCTATCAAGCTGGAGCTTAGATGCCGTGATCTTCCAGTTCGCTTGACAGCCAGAGGTCGCGCATGATAAAGAACCGTCAGGTCAGAGGAGAGATGGTAGTCTAAAGTTAGAGACCGCACATGTGACGATCCTTCTAGAAATCAAGGTTACGGCAAGTGCTAGAATATTTGAAGTGCGGCGTCCGCAGTCAAGGACCTTTTGCCGTTCTTGTGATTGGTTCTCATTCCTTTGAAGGTCATCTCCATAGCCTGTAAGATCGGAAAGTACACTAGGCTAAGTAAGCCGAGCTATTTGGATTGGAAAGCTGTGTTCTAGTGCGCAGCCTGTCCTTGCAATTTGAAACCATGCACTTTGACAACTCGAGCCTCGCGATACTCGAAATGGAAAGCCCCGATGTTCTACAGAAATAATTCGAGGCTAAATAATTGACATAAGCAGGCAAATCCATTCAAGGATCCGTATGCTGATGCAAAGTCAGCAAGAATCTGACAAGAGATTCGCTACGCCGCTTGGCGTCAGCACTATTTCTATGCTTCAATATTATGTGAGCTTAAAAGCCGATTGCTCCCCAATCTCACTGGATCAAGGACTCTCTGACTTACAACAATTCAACCTACTCGACGCTTATCTATCGCTAGCTGTGGCGATGCGCTTCCTGACGGATTCTCGTGGCCTGGGTGACCCAAACTCTGAGGAAGTCCCTCTCCTTGTCATCGGGGCTGGGCTCCCTCGCGCTGCCACATCATCAATGCAAGCGGCTTTTGAGAAGCTAGGCTGCGGACCATGCATGCACATGGCAGAAATCCTCCCCCATCCCTCGCGTTTACGCCTTTTCATCGCCGCCCTGCGCGAGAAGAATCCCGAAGTTCGGCAAAAGATGGTCAAGCAACTCATTCACGGCCATCGTTCCATCTGCGATCTTCCTGTCGTGTACTTCACACCAGACATGATGGACGCATATCCAGATGCCAAGATTGTGCTTAACCAAAGACCCGATCCTGAAGTCTGGGCCAAGAGTGCTGAGGAGAGCTTCTGGTTCTTCTTCAGCCCTTGGTTCTACTGGGTCGGTCTGCTCTGGTCTTCTGATCGGATGTGGTATACACTTAATATGGAGAGCATCAAGTTGGGCAAGGAGAAGTATGGCTCAGCTGAAATCTTCTCGGCGGAAATGTATAACAAGTACAACGAGGAGGTATTGGCTGAGGCGAAGAAGAGGAATCGAGAGGTTCTTCAGTTCAAGGCAGAGGATGGATGGGAGCCTCTTTGCAAATTCTTAGGCAAAGACGTTCCGAGTGAACCTTTTCCACGATTGAATGAGAAAAAGACTTTCCAGATCGTGAAATATGTATTCATCGCGAAGGGAGTTTTGTCTTGGGTTGCTCTTTTCGGCGCCACGTGGGGACTTTGGAAGGTCGCGTCCTGGTACCTGTAAATCTACACGTGCATTCAGCCACGACTATCAAATAAATGGAGGATATAAAATTGTCGTTATAAAAAGCAAAAAATGAATCGCTTGTTATGCTAACTGGAGGGTTCGAACCTCCGCGGTTTCCCACTGCGGGTTTGGTTTCTGATAAGAACCTAAACACAGCGCCTTAACCACTCGGCCAAGTTAGCGATGATGATTCGGGTGGATTTATAGCTCGCGAATCAACAACAAGACCTGATGCCTAACTGATCATGAGGATGTGAAAGAACCAAAAGCTACCAAATGTCCATTTCATTGAAAAGAGAAATACCGAGAGTCCATATGAAGTTCAGTGCGAAGGTTTGATGGGATGAATGCATAAGGCAAATTTGAAACGGGCAAATTGGTGGAGCTTCAGATAACCAGCACAATCTGACACAGAATAAGGACAACGTCATCGCAACATCTATCGCTCGAATTTCTGTATCTTATCATTTACTCATAATATCTATCAATCTTGTTCATAGCAGTGGCTCCAGCAAGAATCCAAAAGTCGTCTCTTCGGTCTTAACCATGAGATCTTCACGAACAGCGGGTCCACAGGCACCGGATCCAACACCAGCGACCTTGCTATCCAGCCTGATAAACACCGCATCATCCTCTTTCAAGTCAGGAGGATGTCTGGCCTCATGAATAGTTGTATCCCTATGATGCGATGCCAGGAAGCTGAAATTCTTTCCATCCAATCGTGTCGCACGTAGTCCAATGCTTGGAGACTTGGAGTCCCGAAGTGATACCCATCGCGTGTCTTCCCTATTACCATTCTCTTGGGGAACATCGTAAGGAGTCTGGAGTTCAGATATAGACTCGGAGTTCCAGATTCCGATGCGCTGAGAATCCTTCTTGTCGGGATAGCTTTCTCCGGGTCCGCGGCCGAGCCACTTGACATGCTCGAGGGTCTTGCTACCATAGAGGTTGAGGCCAATTCTGGGGACGTGCTCTGGGAAAGACCCTGTTGGTGATAGGCGTGTGACGTTGACACTGAGGGCTCCAGTGAGGTAAACTGTATACTCGATCTCACAGTCCCATCCCCAGAACAGAACTGGGGGAGTGATGAAGGTATGTGCCTTGACAACCACCTTATCTGAGTTGGAGGCGTCAACGGAGAAGGATCGAAGTTGGGATTGTAGTTGCTCGACGCCAAATCGCTCCCAGTATGGAACGGCTCCAGGAACGTCGTTGTCGGTCTTGGGGCGCCAGAACGATGGGATGATTGCAGCCTGGGTCTTGGGGTCGAAGGTAAGGAGAGTTACGTTGTTTGAGACCCAGCTCTTCAGAGCGCCGTAAGCGCGATCAAAGGCAAACTCGGAGTTCTTGCCAACGACTGATACAGTAGCGCCCTTCTCAGTCACAGACAGCTTGGAAGTAAGAGTGTTGCTTGCGACGAGAGCAGCCTTGGCATCAGTCTGGGGAGCTTGGAGCTGCTGCTGATACCAAGCAATCTCGTGACCAGCGGGTGCCCAAGCTGTGGAGTGCTTGAGGGATAGTGTCACTGTCAGATAAACCTCTTTATCTTTGTTGTATCGCTTGGCGTCGACTGGAAGAGATACAGAACGTGTCTCGCCAGCTGGAACCTCAGGGATGTCGAATGACCCGGAGTGAATCAGTGTTGACCTATTTCATTGTTAGCATCCTCCAATTTACTTGGATGGAAATAGACTTACTCTTGACCGAACTGCTCCACTTTGTAAGATGCAGCCAGGTGGTCCAGACCAGCAAAGTCATGCCAGTTCTCAATCTTCAGCTCTCCATCCTTGAAACTAAACCCAACAGGTTGAATAACCTTCTTGAATTCTGTTAGACCAGGTGTAGGCTCATGCTGACTGTTCAGGAGACCATCCATGACGAAGGTCCCGTCATTGGGTGTATCTCCGAAGTCACCACCGTAAGCGTAATATCCTGCTCCCTCGTGGTCATCCTTCCACAGACCATGGTTTGCCCACTCCCAGATGAAGCCACCTTGGAGGCGAGGATAATCGCGGAAGGCTTGCTCATAGTCTTCTAACCAGCCGGGTCCGTTGCCCATAGCGTGTCCATACTCACAGAGAACGATGGGCTTCTCGTACTTGCCGTCCTTGACACCCTCTTCTTCGGCGTACTTGATCAAGCGATCAACCGTGGGATACATATAACTGTACATATGTGTCGTCTCGGCCTCCATATCTCCCTCATAGTGAATAAGTCTCGAGGGATCAGCTTCTGTAGCATACTTGAACATCTCTCTGTGGTTGTCACCGTAGAAAGCCTCGTTACCGAAACTCCACATGATAACGCTGGCGTGATTCTTATCACGGTTAAGAACAGCCCGGATACGGTCAAGGTAGGCGTCCTTCCACTTGGGGTTGTTGGAGGTGAACTCAGCAGCCTTTCCGAAAGCAAGCTTCTTCCGCTCGCCGTAGTCCATGGACTCAGGAATGTCAAGAGGTCTAGCAACAGCATCATAGAAGCCGTGGCACTCGAGGTCAGCCTCCGCCATGACCCAGAGACCATACTCATCGCAGAGATCAAGAACGCGAGGGTCATGAGGCTGGTGAGCACAACGCAGAGCGTTAATGTTGTGCTTCTTCATAATGAGAAGATCGCGCTTGGCGAACTCTAGAGGAACAGAGCGGCCGAGAAGAGGGTGATGTTCGTGGCGGTTGACACCTCGGAGACGAATGCGTTTGCCATTGACCTTCATTAGGCCATCCTTCAGCTCGACCGTTCTGAAACCAACGCGCTGCTGAACTCTGTGAAGAACAATCTGCTTGTCTTCAGACTTGAGAGTTATCTCTGCTGAATACAGGTATGGTGTCTCCGCTGTCCATTTCTTTGGATCCTCGACATCAAGGCTGAGAGTAGCTTTTGACTGTCCATCGAAAGATGTCTCAGTAGATCCAATGACAGCTCCTCCGTTCTTTGGAAGCTCAGAGACTGTGAGCTCGACAATAGTGCCCTTTCGAGCAGAGACATCAACAGATGCGCTTAGACGGGCGTTCTTGTAATCAGCGTCAAGATGTGGCGTGAGGAAGAAATCATCGATTCTGGCAGCTGGGAAGGAAATAAGATACACATCTCGGAAGATGCCTGGAATGATTAGTTATTGGTCAAGCTCGCGATTTGGGCGCTACTAACCTGACAGCCACCATTGGTCCTGATCTTCGATGTATGTCGCATCAGACCATTGATAAACCCTCACAAAGAGCTCATTTGGGCCATCGCGGTTGACAAACGAAGAAACTTCAAATTCAGAAGGATTTCTTGAACCCTGAGCGTATCCGATCAGGGTGCCGTTGACCCAAATATGATAAGCGCTATCAACGCCATCAAAGCGCAATCTCAGCTGAGAATCTGCAGCCCAATCCGTCGGGACATGAAATTCTCGACGATATGTTCCCGTAGGATTCTCAGTAGGAACATATGGCGGGCAGACAGGAATAGGATACTGAACGTTGGTGTACCAGGGCTTTCCGTGGCCTTGAAGCTGCCAATGGCCAGGGACCTGGATCTGACCGTAAGCGACATCTTTTGCGCCTGGTTCAGGTGCTTCCAGAACTGTGCCAGCGAGAGAAAAGTCCCATGTTCCATTCAGTGAGATTGAGGTATCAGGAATATGATACGAACGGGTGGGGAGAGTGTTTCTCCTAAAGACAGCTTCGTTGATGTAGTCCGGGCGGGAGGGATCCTCCTGGAGAGTGATGCCCTTTGGCTCGTGCTGAATGCTGTCTCCCATTTTTGACGATGAAAGAAAGGTGACTGAAATGAATGGAAAAACAGAGTCTCAGGAAAGATTGGACTTTTATCTTGTTATTCCTCCTCCGCGATAGCACAGCCCCCGCATCGTGATACAACTTGGTCCTTACTCAACACGTGCTTCGGATTGACTCTCGGGGAAGAGAGGACTCCACTAGAATCCATGATAGGTGCGGGTACATGGCTCGATTGGTGTTGATCTTGTCTTGTTTGGTGGAACAGCCTGAATGCACCAGATCGTATTGGGATTAGAGGGTGACAGCCCGGGGATGTCGGAGCCGGAGCGGGGCAAGACTTGGAGGGCTTGACTACTACCCGACAGCGGAACAGGCATGAGGAAATTGTTACAGACGACCTGCGTCTGACCTCATCGCAGCAGTGATAGGATGAAATGGCTTAGGGATAGTTAGAAAAGGTGGAAATTAGGTGTAATTGAGTAGTAGACAAACAAGAGTAATGGAATCCGATCCAAGTCTGGGAGTGCATTAGGGTAGGGCTGATGAGAAATATTAATCATACTAACTGAAGCGATGAAACATGCCAGCAAGTTTTGTTCATAACTTGAGATATTTATAAGTGATAACGTGCAGTACTTCTTCAAACCATGTTATTCCATTGGTTACGCCACTGAGCCTCTCTACTTCTCTGGGCATGGTCGAGGGGCCTCTAGACTGGGAAACTAGAGGGCATGTTTGCATATCCGAATCTATTATTAGGAAGACAGGCAAGCTTCTAGCCCCTAAGTCACCGTCTAGAAATGAGGTCCACTATTAGGGCTGAAGTGTCCTTGGCGTCGGTGTCAGATGTCAAGTCGGTCCTTCGTCGAAGTGTATCGCTAAATATTACTCAAACATAACAGCAGTTTCTAATATCTACAGCATTACATTGTCAAAGATATGGCAGAATCTAAGCACATATACCTACCATATTATCTATATCAGGCACAATAGAACATAAGGAAACTCTCAATAGTTGTCGGACACCTGGCGTGATTTTGTGAGAACTAGGTACCAGAGATCAACAACAACTAAGCAGCTACTCCATAATTGGTCGGGCTACAGAATGCAAAGAAATGATTGTTTGGCTGCAAACGGTATTTACCACTGAAAATCGATTTGTATCTGAAATATGCAGGTATTTACTCAACACGCTACCTTTCTAATTATATAAATAAGAAAACAGTGATCGCTTGCGATAAGATAAGGCCGATATGTGATTATGTTGCCGCGTTTCACATTAAAGTTGCCGAACTTCCGAGATGGAGAGATACTGCACTATCGACCAATGGATTGTTGCTCTTCGAACGTGTTGGTCCCGAATATTCATGAACCTCGTAAGTGACAACGCGTTCTCACCCAACAAGGTCTCCACTGCCGGATATCCGGCACAAATCGCCTGGCATAGCCCCATTTGCACATGTCATATCACCAGTACCTTTCGCCCATTCCTTCGACCTTCATCAACAAAATACCGCTAATCCAGCCACAAAACCCTTGGAATACCACCCGGCATATTGTGATGTCACCAAACATTTCCTTCGACTCCGGCACTATCGATAGATTCAACCGGGCAGCTGCCGGGTATATCGTGCCTCTACTTCTCCTAGTCACGAATCTGATTACATACATCAACAAAGATGCATCCAAAGCTTATGATCTTACTTTTCTTAACGTCTTTGCCAACCTCTATTTGCTCGGAGCCTATCTTAGAGGCGACAGGTTCGGCTAATGGCCCCCGACCAAGTGCTGTGAACCAGGAGATGTACCTTGAGTTGCTTCAAGCACTGGAACAGCTGCAGCATGGCGAACCGAAGAACAAGATACCCGAGAAACGGAAATCTGTTAGTAATACCAGATTTCTGTACATTAACAGAGTAATGACTGAATTTTAGATATATGAACGTGCATGGCATGCTATTGCGCCATCTCACGAGTTTAAAGAGGGATTAAAGGTAAAGCAGTCTCTAATCTGCAGGAATGGTTCTGACGTTCGCATCAAAGATAATATGGCTTCGCTGGAGTACGTTCGAGTAGATAACCCGTGACTTGACTACGGATATAAACTGATTATTTAGCTTTCGAAATCAAGTATACCCTCGGTCTGGCAGAATGCGGACACTTCAGTGGGTACGCCGGCCCAAATAAAGAGATTTACTACCAGTATGAGGTTAGTAAATATGAAATCTAACTTCGCGTCAGATGGCTAAGATGAGACAGACTGATGATGGTCACTGCGATACAGTCATTGAACAAATTGAGGTGGAACGGGCAATCGAACGCCAAGTCAAGAAAGAGGGGGCAGCTCTTCAAACTACTGAATGTCTGGATCTGACTGACACTTGGGTTTGGAACGGCCACCTACTTGTTGGACCAACCAAGGGATTTGACTACGAAATAGAATGCGGGCCAAAGCTTATTGTTACTCCAGTGTCTATGATGTGGGATTTGGAGAGCCTGGAGAAAGCAGAGAAGGAGAAAGAGAAGCAAAATGACCGTGAGCTATAGGGAACCCAGTCTGCTGAATATGGGAAATCAAGCAATGATAGGCTTTCGATGGGCCATTAAAAGAGTAAAGAGTAAAGGTCCAGAAAGAAATTACCAGAGAAGTCAATGTCATAAATAATTCTGCTCAAAAAGTGAGAACCGCAATAAACGAAATGCTTGCCGCGCACATGGTAGTTCTAATTACTTGGTACTTCTTACGTCACCGAAGCATGAAGTCGTTTCGTCTCCAGATAATTGTATCAATTTGGAACCAATGGCACTGTAGCCTAAGATTTCAGGAGACCTACTTTGGGACAATGAGCTTATCTAGTTTATGGTTATATTAAGACACCACTAGCCATTGGCCGAGTAAACATGCTTGTTATAATCCACTCATGGCCTCTCTTCTGTCGTAGTCCGAATTGCCGGTGAAGTAGACTACTGCTCCAATGGTTCCGTGATAGCACTTCACTGACCTGATTATGACCGACTTTGGGGCCAGGGAAACGGTCTTGAGATCTATAACGCGACTCTTAGACGACTTTAGTGACCTTGGCTCCTTTAACTGCCAAGTTTCTAATCTTGACAATACAATCAACACAGCGAGAAGTCTGATCCATCATGCACAGTGCCAATCATCGTCCAAAAGTACCGCTTACGCAAGAGCAAGGAGCCTTGTGGACTCCTCAGAACCAGACCGGTCGATTCATCATACTAGCAAGAAGAGGCAATATGGGATGTAACGTCTTCTGGGTTGCCGACAGATATGATCATCGATATCATTGTCCAGGCGGCAATTCGGCACAAATCGAAGATCAATGACCAACTGGAAGACGCAGAAGACGAAGGATTGTGCTTGCAGCCAACATACAATGACTCTTGATGAAAACGACTGTATGAGAAGTACAAGGATAGAATCCTTCGACTGATGTTCTTTGGGATATAGAAAAGGCCGAGCATCCATTTCGAAGGGTTTCCTAGTAGCCCAATCGATGGATTTTACAATGGATGTTTCTAAGGGTGTACTAAGAATGAGGAATCTACAGGAGCCCTATTATCTGTAGGAACTTATGCCAGTAACACAAAGAGTTGACTGAAAACCAATAACTCATCCCCAAGAACTCCGCTATCTGTCGCCGCAGTCCGAGTGAAACGTGAGGCTCTGGCGCTTATTGTGCGGGAGATGCCGTTCTTCCGGAACACATGGATTCTTTTTCATATATAGAGCCGCCCGAGGCTACAGTCGAAATGTGTTGGTTCTACGTCTCTAAAATTCTCGTAAGTTTCTGTGCCGCTTGTAGGACCAACAACATTTCACATGGGTCGGATAAGCGGCATGCTCAATTCCACGCCGAAGATACCCTCATTTTCCGGATCCTCTGACATTGAAGATTTTCTCTCGTTACATTACCGAATCCTTCAGAATCCTCGCCAGGGACTTATAAAAGACCAATTGAGACCCAAGGTCTCACGTTCAAATCATAGTAATGACTCCAGCACTTCAACTCGAGCCTCACTTCCTCGATCAAATTGTACAAGCATCAGCAGGATACATTCTTCCCACTGTTCTTCTCGCAGCGAATCTCGTTGCCTATCTCAGTCAAGATGAAACCCGCCCTTATGAGCTTCTTCGTCTTAATGTCCTTACCTTTGTCTATTTACTCTATGCCTACCACCGAGGTGACAGAGGCCATTAACGAGACCGAGGCTCTGAACATTAATGAAGCTATCAAGATGCCGGATTCTCTGGCTCTGTACCACCTTGAGGACTTTGAGTCCGAAAACCATACCCTCGAGAAGCGCAGGCACGTTACAGTAAGTCCAGCCTATGGTTGATTGCTCACAGTGCTGATATCTCGAAAGGTTTGCGAAAGAATCATCACCATCACATCTCACTGCGTTATCATCGGGGGTGCTATCAAGGTAAGAAATCCGTCGGTCTAATTGGCAGGTCTCTAACAACGATCTTTCAGGACGGAATTCTCCAAATCAGTAAGTAGGATATGACTATGTGGGACTTGAGCTAACATGATTCTCAGGTGCTGCCATTAAGCATGCATCAAATGTCAAGACTTGTTCCACCTTTACCGGACATGCTGGCCCGAACGGCAACCTCTTCTACCGCTATCGTGTATGTGATCCTCATTTCCTTATTATGCCGACAGATGCTCACAATCATTACCGCAGTCTACTGGTAGACACTGTGACACAACTGCTGAGCAGGAAACCATCGCAGGTGCAATCGAGCATCACATCAAGAATCACGGGCACAAGATCTGCGGTACTCAGTGTTTGGAACTAACCCATGGCGGAACCTGGCACGGATATCTCCTCATTGGACCGGCGAGCAACTTTGACCATAAGGCTTACTGTGGACCGAAAGTCACCTTCAAGCATTGCGACTCGGGAGGCAAGGGAGACATGAATTAGCCTGACCTAATCTCGGGTAGACATGCTCAAAGACTAAGCATAGAGCGTCTACCCAAAGACCCCCTTCAAGATCTGTTTGGCATGAAGGTACAGGGAAGTTTTTGGATTCACGGCATATGGAGATACATATTTTCGTTCACGTCTGTGATATACGGATGGCAGAGTCAAATTTACATCGTAAGCTCCACGTAGAGCGTTACCCTAACTACTTGTACACTTGCTATGTGCAGAATCACAATATCCTTCGTGATGCCTTTGAGGTTCAGTCAATAGCAATCCCTTATGTAACTATCCGCTTGTTGTATGAGCCACATGCTTCGATCAACACTCGGTGAATCTCCACCAAATGATACCTCACGCCAGTTTCGAAACAACTTCTCGAGATGGCTCCCTACAAGCGTGGCTCGTGACCCAATGAACTCTTTCAGAGCAGGCACGTGTGATGCAGCGAGGATGATCAGCATTGCACCTGACATACTATTCCTTGTCAGTATGCCCTGATTCTGGAGCGGTTATCAACTTACGACAGAGAGCATATCCAGGTATCAATCAGAACTGTCTGCGGGAACCCTCGAAGATCTAATGCATGTAGCAAACAAGCATCGAGACATAACTTGCAGTTCTGCATAGCATCTGGTATTGAAGGCACCCTCGTTTCAGCATAGCTAGTGCTTAGCATCCACATCAGGTATGGTCGGTAGATCACCCCCTTGCAGGTGAGATATCGCTGTCGAAGAAAGCCACCAGCCGCCGTTGCTGCCTCTTCTGTATCTATACTGAAGGAGAACGACGCTGGTAAAACTTCGCGCCAATCATCCAGTTGACGCTGGAGTTCAGCGACGATACGTGGAAAACGAGTGTGATCGAAAGCGGCGCCGGCATCCTTTGCGTAAAGTAGTTGGTGAACTCTATTGAGGAGGCGTCGCATACTAATACAGGCCAAGAAGTAGAGAGAAGATTCCTCTTCTACAATTTCGGATGGGTGCGTGTGATATGTGCTTGGTAAGGGGATGGAAGACTCGACGCGAGCGATTCCTGAAGGGGGACATGCTGAGAGCTCAGCCATGTAATCACTGGGCCGGTATTAGTACCTTATCTTAATTTGTTACGTTTGAAACGCTGGCTTACCTTTCTAGAATGTAGCATGACCAGAACATCCTTCTAATGCGCTCTTCCGCTTCGTCGTCGTGTGTGTTTGGCGGGTACGACAAAAGCAGCATGCATCTCGTCGCTGTGGCACTGAGGTACTCCCAAGCTTGAAGTGGCCGGACCAAAGAGGCGAAGTAAAGGCTATCACGTCAGAAAATATGGTTTACGGGGCACTGGGGTCATCTTACGCTGTGAAGAAGAGGCATTGGGTGCTTTGGGAGTCAACTTGCAGATGCGCGACATGGAGCTTCTTGAGAGCTAGTTGGAAGTAGATGTCACCAAGCTTCCGCTTCCGAAGTCTTCTGTCTTTCTCTGCTGCATCGGGCTCAGCAGTAAAACGAAGGTCTTCGACAGCTTGGCTTGCACATCCCAAAGCCAAGGTGAGTAAACAAAGACAAGAGTGAACTGTATCCTCTGAAGGCATCCCGGTTTGAAGTGTTGCACGTAGGTTGCCGAGCTGTTCTTGTGACATGGAAGGGTACCAGAAGTTGATGTTTCGTTCAAATGCCTCCAGCATCGAGGTTATGTCTTCAGCATCGACGTAGGGATACATGGGATTCGCTGCCACTGCTAGCGGTGGTCGTGCCTGTTCAAGATAGAAGATCGAGTCTCCATCGTGTCGGAGCAGCGGAAAGACATCAAAGTGAGGCCATTGGAGTATCGACTCAGTTGTCGAGGTATGCATAGAGTCCAAGACCGCATTCTCAAGGTTGTTGACATTCTCACGTTGGTCTTGACTGGTCGGCGTTTGGATCGCATGACTCTGCCGACGGAGGTTCAGATCTGGCGAGGAGCCTGAGAATGAGTTGGTGCGATTTGTTTGAGGTGAGTGGGCAAGTTGAACACCGTTCGGCTACAATGGTCAAAGCTGGACATCTAGAAGAGATGCTTGTGGCTTACGATGGCAGATCTCAGCTCGTGTAGGGTTTTCTCGACCCGCAGAACACTTTCTAGGATGAGATCGTTCTTGCTCCTCCTACAGTAGCGTTACATTGCTGGAGCGGAGCAGTAGGTTCAAGAGTGAGGCTTACGAGTTGGCTTCAGATCCGTACGTGCAATCATGGCCGATCGACGCACATGTTGCGCAAGGATTGTTTCCATCGCATCTATCGCTATCAGCAAGCTGTCAAGTTTCTGGTAGATCACCCAACCTTGTCTTGCGGGTACGACAAGCATCACACTAACGTCGGTCAGCACATGCAACAGAAGCAATGTCTCTAAACTCACTGCATGCGACGTCCTCAATCTCTTTCTCGCAGGCCATTCATCATTTGCTTGATCCATTGCGCTGGGAACTGAACAACAATTCGCTCCGGTACGGGCCGACGTGAACGTGGGGAAAAGAGGAGATAATGAAAGACAAGTTTGTGAATCATCTGATGGATCACGGGGATGCTCGGTCCGAGGTCAATTGAAGCTTGTGATTGGTGCGGGAATTCATTCGGGGAATGCGTGCGTCAGTTACCCCAGCTTTTGTGACTTGGTCCGATTGGACACTTCCTTGGTCTGCGAGCGAGGTTGGTGCAAAAGCTTGATGGGCATGAGACCTTGGAAATACTGGGGTCCAAATCAAGGTCATGAGGTGCCATTGCTCGCTGCGACGCGGTATGCAGATCGGGAAGTGAGGCCGAGGCTTTGGCGATTGGCAGACAAGTTTAATGGGAACTCAATTGACACGCGATACGAAATTGTCGCGAACCAATTGAAAGCTGAAACAAGAAATCCGGAACAACTTTCTGGCTGGGCACTGCTTTGGGGCTGATCATGGTAAGGTATCACGTTGGAAAGATAAAATTTTGTAAAGTAATAGTGCATTGTGCATCATATGGATTGCGATGGAGTTATCTTCAGTATGGCTAACTAAAACATGACGAGGCAATTGAGATTGACCAGATCAAACCTCTCCCGCAAGCTTCGCATCTCCCGTCACATTCAGAGTGTTCATAACAGTCTGCGCATCTCTCTTCTGAAGACTCTTCTTGACAGGGTTGGGTGCCTCAAAGACTTCGGACAATTCCTCGAGAGTACGGTCCTTGGTCTCCGGGAAGAAGAAGTAGATGAAGACAGCTTCAAACAGATCCCAAAAGACAAACACAAGGTAGAAGTAGTATCCGATGTCCTGGAAAGCGGGACCGCTGCTGTACTGGATGATGGTCGACGCAATTGAACTAGCAAGGTTACCCACGGCAGTACCCTTGGCTCGAATGTCGGTGGACAAGCATTCAGCAATGTATGCTGACTGGAGAGGAGTCCAACCGAAAGAGAAGACGATACCGAAGATGAAGATCATGGCGACAGTGGCGTTGGCAGCGGATGCGTTGTCGGGTTGGTCGAGGGAGAGCTTGCTGGTACCAGTGATGACGGCGAAACAGCAGGAGCAGAAGATGATTGAGTAGATCAGAAGAGGGCGGCGACCAACGACGTCAGTGAGACGAGCTCCGAGAATGGCGCCGAAAAAGCAGAGCACAGGGTTGACGCCATTAAGGGCCAACACCTTCTTTTCGTCAGTGATGCCGGCTTGCTTCAGCATGACGGGAAGATAATAAGAGCTAGACATGGTTAGAGAGAGCTAGAGACTGGAGAAGGACTTGGGGCTTACCTCAAACTGTTTCCACTGACTTGTCCAAAGACAGCCATACCCAAGACTCCGATAAGTCGGCGTCGCGCACTATGGGTGTTCCACAGTCCACGGTAGTCCCACCAAGACTTATCAGTAGCATCAGCAGCGATCTGGTTCGTCATTTCCTTGATCTGCAGCACAACCATAGGATGGTTCTCGTCACCTTCACCATGGTATGTAGCAAGAACCTTGACAGCATCCTCAACTCTATCCTGGGCGATGAGCCAGCGTGGAGACTCAGGCAGCCACAGAACACCAAGAGCAACGATGCCAGAGGTGATCATCTGACACCAAATGGGGAGTCTCCAGGCAATTTCGCCATCGATGTAACTGGAGCCGTAGACGACCCAACTAGCGATGATGCTGCCGATGTACCAGGTACAATTATACAGACCGGTGATGGTGCCTCGCCAGTTGGGGTGCGCCATCTCGCTAACGTAGCAAGGGGCAGAGACGCAGCAGAAGCTGACGCCGAAGCCGAGGATGAAGCGACCACCGAGGAATTGACCTCTTCCGGTGGATGTAGCTTGGACGCATGTTCCGATGATGACTACGATGGCGCCGGTGAACATGCCCCATCGTCGGCCGAAGAAATCGTTTACGGGGGCGGTGAAGAAAACGGCGGCGATGGAACCGATGTTGTACATAGCAAAGACGATACCGGTCGAAGAACCCTCGGAAGACCTGCGATCGTTAGTTCAAGCCCTTTTTTCTAGGTGATTTGACATACATGTTGAAGTAGCGTTGGTATGCCTTCATACCGTTGATACCACCAAGAAGACTGCCATCATATCCGTTCTTCTCACGTTAGCAACGAGCTCATCGTCCTCTCGTTAAACACTTACCAAGCAACCGCAGAGGTATGCACAAGCCAAGACGAAGTACAGCCTGAACATACGAGGCGTCCATGGAGACAATTTCTGGTTCTCAACATCATGCGCAAGCTGCACGGCGACATGAGCATCATGAACCTCGTCACCATGGTCAACAGCGACCTTCTCATCAGTTTTGTAGTCCATATTGTCAAAGAGTCAATCAGTGGAGACTTGAGGCCAAGAACGAAGACTGTCGATCAGAAGGCCAAGCTCAATGGGTCTTTATATAAGTCAAGTTGCATGCATATTAAGGTCGTTTTAGACCGGACTTTGGACCCCAGACGGCATGCAGCGCCCGTCCGACGTCGTCCCCGGATTTGCAGGGCTGGTTTCTCCCCCTCATTCTGTGCGTGTTGGGTTTAGTTGGAGGGGCCGAGATGGTGTTCTGACTTTTTGTCGGGGCGAGGATTGGGTTAGACTGTTATCCACTCCGGCTCCGGCTGCCCCGAGGTAAACCTGGGGTAGGTTTTGGTGGTACCAATTGGTTCGGGTACAGCATCTTGGAAACGAACCAGTTATTTAAATCTATGGTATGGTGTGTTCCGGCTCGTGACATGAGTTAGACTTAGGCAGAATGGCTTGGGAATTCGTTCCAGTCAGCCCATGATCGTTGTTCACGAGTCGTCTGAGAAATGGCGGCATTGACATGGTCTCATGGAACAGACTCCTTACTCGTCTTTCACGTAACACGCTTCTCAGCATGACAATACATATCAATTAGTCAGGGCTTTGGAACCGAGTACGCGACAGAGGCCCCGCTGTACCATACGTCAACTATAAAAGGCATTGGCTATGGTGTAGTCGACATTGAACGAGCCCAGGGCTAATTTTCCTTCTACCAAGCTGTCTCCTTCTCCGGCTTTTGGCCATAGACCACGTATCTTCTGATGTGAGTATAGGGACGACATGACTACGGGGGCGACTTACATCTTCCAGTATCCATGTACCTTCGGATTCCTCAATTCATTCCTCACATCCGCGCAAAGAGATAGCACTTGATCTTTTGACCAACCGAGCACCCTGGTGAACAGAGCCAGACTCACGCCCTCAAGACCTGACTCAAAGTTGATGAGGTTCCACTTCCCAAGTTCCTTGAGTTTTGGGTCTTGGGGCCAGCCGTTGGTAGGCCATATGTAGATAGTCTCAACAACATTTTCAAACCCGGCCTCCTTGATGATGGCTTTGTACTTGTCAGACTCGCCAAGTGGGCGACCAAGTTTACGAGAGCCTTCGATGAGACATTCTTGCCACTTCATTAGTGGTGACGTTTCTGGGTCGAGAGTCCCATCGTCGCAGAAGACGGGGAGTTGGATATCTTGGATCTCATACCAACCGCCGGGGCTAAGACCACTGCAGTGCGTTACTAGAACGTTCGTAGACCAAGATCTTCTCTCAGTGAGCTTACTCGAATGCTTTTTTCGCTATTGTTTCTGGGTCGGAGAAGCTTCCTGTCATCATGCGAGAGAAGATAAAGTCAAATGGTGTCGTCCATGTCCACTCTTTCTCAAGGTCGTCGATCTCGAAACTGCAGTTTGGCGGTACGCTGTGTGAATAGTCAGATAATACTAAGAAGTTGAAGGCAAGTTGGGACCAACAATGGAGGTTGGATGGGGCTCAGATCAACGCCGATCACCTGTTCAGATATTAGGCGAGTCTGTAGAGTATGGTAAGTGGCATACTTCGGCAGCCGGATGTTCCTCAGCTAGGGTCTAGTCAGCAAAGTTCGATCGAAAGTCTTGACAAGAATCATACCAAATTCCAATGCCCAAATCCCCGTTCCGGTACCCATATCTAAAACTCGCTTGGCTGTATCGGCTCCGGGATTCAAGGCCCTTTTCCCGTCAAGCGTAATGATATACATGCCGTCTTGCAGGTCTGTCTGATATTAGCATTATAGAACAAGTCTTGAAGCTCTCTCTTACCGAGTCTATCATTTTCAATCTCCAACGGGGTTAGACCAAGCACTCAGTTTGTTTCATGATAAGCTCACATCGTCATTTGGGTAGGCATACTCTACTTCTATCAGCCACTGTCAATTCGAACCAAGACTTATTCTTACTCCCTTCACTTAACCTATGGTAAGTACGTCCATTTTCTTGCGCGAAATGGAGCAGGCTGGACCGAAGTGATAGATTTAACGAATCGTCGAGTGGCTTTGTTTGTGAGAACCTTGGCCTTAGTGGGGTTGGACTGGACCTACAATTTCGATAGCCGAGTCATAATCCAGATCAACAGCCTGCCTTTCGATTAGCAAGTGCCTAATCAGATGGTGATCCTTATTACAATCTGTTCTGACATGCTAGGCAGCTGTGAGAGGAGGTGCAATGTTTGCAAAATTTTGGGCATTAAGGCGGGGAACAATGGGTTGATAATAAAAGCAAATAAAGTTCTAGGCACATGATTTGCTGCAAGGGCGTGTCGCGCTACCCTGAAGCAGCTTTGTTCTTATCATATCTTGAGCCATTTCTCTGCATATTCAGTGAAATAACCTCTACATGTGAGTAAAGAAAGTTTCGCATGAGGAAAAAAAGGGCTTTTTTTTTTTTGTGCGGTTTTCCACGCCTAGATGTAATCCAAATAATTACAATCGATCATGGTTAATGACAAAGGCGGGAAGTGCAGCTACACCGCGACGGGGCCGTGCAACAGCACCTCCATTACACGACCATCCAGGTAACGCTGCCTCATAGGCAAGCACTAAAGAACGTGCCTTACTGTACGCCATTTCAATCTATGAAGGAACATCATCATATCTGGAAATCCATTACTGCAAGTCTGCAAAGCATGATGAAAGACACCATTCCTCTATCGGTATGTGGCTGTCTTAGCTTCAGATCATACCTAAATGAGCCTAGTCGGTATTTTTCATTTCAGCTGAACTCTCAGAAAACCCCTTTCGCAATTTCGAAATGTTTCGTGACGAAGAGACAAGTATCGCGACTTCAGCATGGCAGATAATGGCAAGTCGCCAACCGACATCATCACCTATATCGGTGTGCCGTTGGCAGTCTTGGGAGGTATCCATATCGCTATTCCCCACGTATACCGCATGCCAAGCGACTAACTACCCCGGCAGTTCTCCCAATTCTGTACAACACGCTCTCCACGCTCATCTCGCTTTCCAAGATAAAGCGCATGCTGCGGCATAGTCGTCTGACAGCACTTACACGCAGTGATATCGTCAATAGAGTCATAGAGATAGAGCTTCCGCGCTATGCTGTCATGCCGCTGGACAGATTCCAGGATCGCTCAGAGTATTGGACTCTGTCGCGTCATCCCAGCTCGATCCCTGGTGGTAGTTGGACCACCTTCAACTGGAAGACTCACTCGATTGGCATGAAGACTCAGCGGGTTGAGTACGCTGATCAAGTCCGACAACCTCAAGTCGAGGTAGCATTCGATGAGCTAGTTTGTTATCTTCTCGATCTTGGCGCCGTCCCGAATCCGCACGGATGGAAGTTACTGAGATCGTCTGGACTTTGGACACCTGTAGGATGTTGTTTGATGATGTCTCCCGAAGGTCGGCAAGACGCGCTGACAATCGCTCCGTCGAACGATTCCGATGGCAATCTCTCCTTGACTGTTGCCTGGTCTAGTTCTTGGATCACAAGAGACTATTCTAACTTGCCGCCATACTGGGTCCGATTGCCCTCATCACCTCAGAAAGACAATACCAACGAGCCTGGAAGCGTGTCAGAAGTTCCAGAGCACTCAGCTCGGAACTCAGAGGACGGGCTAACAACAGGGAAGGATCGGGAGGTTGAGTCACGGCCAGGAACTAATCAAGCTTCCACACAATCGAGTGCAATCACTTGTCAGATTTCTATGTCAGGGCTTGTCACTGCCCTGACAGAGCAAGACCATTATGGTGCCCAGACGACTCTGAACCTAGAAAGCCTTTACATCGACCATCTGCGAATTCAGCCTGCCAAATCTGACGGTGTCTGGTTTTCCAGCGCAGCCACCGCTTTCGGAACATCCAGTCAGACCATTCTCTGGAACTACAAGATCCCAGACGATATTCTGTCCTTTGCTCGGAAGGAGACAGTGCCCTGCGGAGTGTTGGTAGTTCTAGGCGTCGTTGACGAATCTGAGACACCAACATGGGCCACCAGGCATGATGATCATGGGACAGACATTCACAAGTTCGCGCGAAAGTCTCAAGAGCAACGGGCTGCAATAGCTGCAGAAGCACTACTACCTCCTGCTCAGCGTCAAGCGGCAGTACAAGCTCGGATGCAAAAGGAGACCCAGGAGCGGATGGATGAGAGTAAGTCACCCGATCGTTTACAGATCTGAGTTCATTACTGACATGGCACGCCATAGTGCGCGAGAGACACAGAACAAGCCAGTTGAGACGCGACCAGCGCATGATGGAAGCCCTGCGCAGCCCCAAGTGGGACACAAAGCTTGTTGCTGAGCATTGCCTACGATGGCTCCAAGGAAAGGGTCATTGGGATGACTCGCTTACTGTGAAAGATGTCGTCGGCTTCATGTTATATCGCATGGTTCTGGATGGGGAGTTCGCAGCTAACATTTGCCGGATGCTGGACAAGTGGAAGGCTTGGGCTGATGTCGGTGGTATGAAACAGTCTGACTACCAGGCAGTTCAAGATGATCAAGTCGACTTTGCACATGCGTCGTTATTAGTGGCTATGATTCGAGATACATCTACGGCTTTGGAGGGAACTGTGTCTATGGACCTACAGGAATGCTTGAGGATGTGGAGAAAGGTTCGACTTGGATAGTTCGCTATGTGTAAAAAGTCCTTAGGGGACATATTTCAGGTCAGACTTGCACCAGAGTCACATGGTAATAGAAAGCGATTAATCCCGGGAAAGATTATTGCAGACTAAGGAGCGAAACAGCTAGCTAAAAACAGAAACACTTAAGTAAACTTCAAGGAAAACCAGTTCCAAGTCAATGACCTCTGGTGATCAGAGAACACATATCCAAGCCAAAGGCCACGGCGCAGCGCTCAGGAAATCTGTCCACTGAGCTCGACACCACCGGGAGGGAAGGCGAAAGTGGCGCCCTTGAACTCAAAGTGTCCGACGTAGACCTGGTTACGGTAGATACTGATGTGGAGTTTGAGCTGCAGCGTGTTAAGTCTTGTTAATTGATAGTGGGAGTCGTCCACTTACACCCTTGACGTGGAGCTTGAAGGTGGCATCTCCCTGTCCAAACTGCTGGAAGTCATTGTAGTAGAAAGTGCCGCTGATAGGCCTGTTAGGGTCGTGCAATTCTATGGCATCGGGCAGTAGGGAGTCACTCACGAAGTAAGGGTTGCAGTAGCAGGTTTAAAAACATAGAAGCCAGTGGCATCGAAGCCGAGGTTGAGAGAGTCGACACCAATGTGAAGGGTAGCATCAGTCTTGGTCAGGTTAAGCGTTCCGTGGGCAGGAGCATTTTTCTTCCAGACTTGGTGCTCGACGGATCCTTCAGATTGGATGATAGACTCCAGATGAGCTCTGCCACCAGGCTTGGAGATGGCATCAGCAGCCAGGTCATTAACCTCTTGCTCAGTGGTGTTGCGGGCGTCAGGGCCAGTGGTGATGTAGGCTGCCAGAGCACTGAGAAGAGCGCCGTCCACGGAGCTGGAGCTTGCGGTCTGAATGGGCAGGCCCTGAGGCGGCTGCTGCTGCTGCTGCTGCTGCTGCTGAGGGAAGGAGATAACGGAGGCCATTGCGATAAGTTTGAAGGGGTTTGGGGTTTGCTGGTTGTTGGCCCTTGAAAAGATGTGATATGCTTGATGAGGATGAATCTTTTCTTCTGGGCCGGGAACTCCTCCAGCTTTTATAGATTTCGTCTCATAGCTCAAAGGCAGTATTATGTCCTTGAAGACAGACTAGAAGCATCGCAGAGACATTGACAGGTCAGTCTCATCAAGGAATTTCTCTGGACTTGGCGCTTAGACGACGGTGAAGCTATCCCCAGATGGTTTAGTCCGCACGTTCTTTCGTTGCTGAAGAATATCTGTCTTACTTTCAGCTGGCCGTTTCCTGGCCACGAGAGGATGAACTAACCTTAAAGGTCCAAATATCGTGTCATTGCAAGGTTGAGAGCAAATATCGCGATGTTCTGGTCACATTGTCTACATCACGACTTCCTGATGAAGCTGGAGACTGAGGTGATATTGCTTTTAGCGCCTGTGAACAGAACTGCATGACGCTATGCCATGCTGCATTATCAAGGCCAGCTGAATACACTAGACTATGGCGTCAAAAGCCCTCAGGATGATTCCAATATAGTCCGTGGTGATAATGTACGTGACATAAAGTCTGGACTCGCAATCTACACTAAGTGGGAGGTTGAACGGCGCGGGCCGAGACCGCCACAACTGTTGGATTACGAATTGGAAATTGAAAGATCAATTAGCCAAACTGATTGGCAATTGAGCAGGGGTTCTCAGCTCCATGTTGAAATTTACCTATGCCTTTTTTGGGTGGAGATGTCTCAAACCATAAGGCCATTTTCAAATTCGGATTGCGCCATCCCCAAGTATTGAAAGGACTAAACCTGTCCTGAATTGAATAATTGCTCATCATGTTCGGCACATCAATCATAGTAGCAATCACGTCAACCGTTCGGGCTAGCTGTTATTTTTGAGGCCCTCCTAGAGCTCATTCCGGAAGGCTGAGTATGGTCTCGTAACACATTAGTCTAACTACTGAACAATTCTCAGCGCCATCTTCGGACCTGGCGGCTAATGGGACTCTGGTAATTCTCTGTGGTTTGACGGGAATCTGGATGGCTGTATTGGCTAAAGACCCTCTTGGCTGCTGTACTGAGCCCGATATCCTTACCAGTACGGCTGGGAAAACCCTAGCGCTAGAATAGAGAAAAGGTCGGCCAGAAGTTTCAGCAAGGCCACAGATTGGCTTGGGTCCAGTGATCATGGCAGATGGAATTTCCCTTGGGGACCAAGGACAAGCCGAGGAGCAAGGTAATAAATGCATGCCCATAGGAGCTTGAACAGAAGAGCTCACGTTGTTCTTGTTTTTACTAGTCATCACCCCCTGAACTCAGCTTCGCTTGCGAGTTGCATACTGGGATTAGCCTCGCCTCTCCAGGATTTATTGAGCACATGCCTATGGTTGGTTATATCTGCAAATATCGCTCAACATACCTAAGCTGCTAACTGTCAGAGATATGGTATATGATGCAAGCATCAGCTATAAGCTCTATGCGAACTCACAATGACACTCTCATGAAGACAGTTCAGGGAGCACACCACCTATCCGTCTCTCATGTGAATGTGCGTTTTTCCGGCCTCAACTGTTGCTCGGAGGCTAGTATAAGTACCATACAAGTATTCTATGCTGCAGTAATGTCCAAGGGCACAGTTGTCATCTGAATTTCGTAGCGGAATCCGCAATTGCTATTCTCTACGCACCAAAGAGATTCTAATTTGATTTCTAGCTCTGCCTACATAAAGCATCACAAGTCGCTATCGTTTGTAAGATATTCCTGAAAGGCAACCAAGAGAACGGCCTAGCGGACAGGATGCGAAGGACTATTTTGGTGAGGGTTAGGAAGTTCAAGTATGTGGCTGCATCACGTTCTTTTAATAAAGGAAAATCTATAATTCATCATTACTTAATGAAATTACCGGGCTGCAATCGGGTTGGCTGTTTCGTGTTGTCAGCTGAACAACTCTAACTGCCTGGGCACCTCACCTGTAATGAGCTACCCTGGATGCCCATGAGATCATTTTTCCATTGGGATTTGCTGGTCATAATGTCAGCAATTTAGCGATGTTGCAGCTGAAAAGCGACGCTATGCTTATTTTGTCGAGATATTCTGACATGTCGTTAATCTGGTAAGCTGAGACTGTTTTGTCGGCCAGAAGGGTAATGGACCTCAACGGGTGAACTGGACCATTCCAATAATGTAGACACTGGTACACCCTCAATGGAGAAAATGCGGCTCATTATGCGTTTGTCAGGGCATTCGATTCAGTGATGACGGATCAACAGGCCGAGATGCTAGGAATGGACGCTTCGGAACTTCTGGAAATTAAAAGCACGAGTGCCGAAGGGTCTTGGCACGTTAAACCCGACGAATAATGTTTAAACTAACAAGGACCTAAGACAATGCCACGGTCATAACAAAGTCAAAGCGTTCGCCCTTCACCAGTCAAAACACAAACGGACAAACGTTGAAGCCCTCCCCGCACCGGCATCTCCTTTCCCCCGCGAACCGTCCCCCCTTGGCGCAACCAGGATAACATCATCGAGCCCATTAGCGCGTCCTCACTTGAATCATTCGCCCAAGCTGACTGGTTCGATGTGAGACAAAGTGCTTTTCGTCTTATCTCTCCTCTCCCATCCCCATCCCCATCTCTTCTCTTTTCCTTCCAAACTTCTTCTTCTCTTCTTCTTTTGAGGCTCCCAAGTGAGCCTGCTGTGCTTGGCCATGCACGATGGAAGCGGATTATAGACCGAATGTCTATGCTTCTATCTTTATTACCCTGCCGCTTGCAGCGCTGGTGCTAGTGCTGAGACTCTTGGCGAGACGCACGACGAGGGCGGGTTATGGGATTGATGATTGGCTGGCGGTCGTTGCGTTTGTGAGTTATGCTTAACGTTTTGCCACTGAAGGAATGATCGCTGACAATCGATGCGCAGATTGGAGCGCTCGCGTACTCGATTGACAACCTTGTCTGTAAGAACATAACCACTCGATCTGCATCAATTGCGATAGCTAAATGCGCCTTTAGTTCTTTTCGGCTTTGGCCTCGGTCGCCCGCTGAAAGATGGCCCGTCGCATCTCACCGAAGAAGAACGACTCGAACGATCATACCTCCTCATTTGGCTCAGCAGCCTGACGTATACCATCGGCATCGGCTTCGCCAAATTCGCCATTTTGACGTTTTATTGGCGCCTCTTCAAATATTCTAGTTCGCGCATCGCAATTCAAGTTGTCTCTGTGCTTTGTGTCGCATGGTTCATCGTCCGAATACTCCTGTTGACACTGTCGTGTATGCCGACGTCAGCCTACTGGGATCTTGCCCGACGAACTACCCACTGCCATGTCACGAGCAATATTTATTTCTTCTCCACTGGTCTTACGCATGCTGTTCTGGATGTTGTCATTCTTGTCCTCCCGCTGATTGAAGTCATCAAAATGCATCTTCCGCTTGGTCAAAAACTTGCTGTCATGGCCCTTTTTGGCTTCGGCGCTCTGTGTGTTCCCCATGGTGATACCTCGTGCCCTGGACTAATATGTGAACAGTGTTTGTGTGCTGTCGATTCTTGTCATCCATAATTCCTTCCAGTTCAACGGAAGTTCGAAGGAAATCGCTCTCAAGATCGGTTATCACGGATCTTTGGCTGCAGCAGAGTGCAATCTTGCCAACGTTTCGGGTATATCACACCGACCCCGTACTGCGAACCTCAATTGACGTGCTCCAGTTTCTCTGCCGATGCTGCGACCCGTATTTCGAAAGATTGTCCCCTCTTCATTCCTCGCGTCACACAGAAGCAAGCGCGCTGTCGTCGACTCAGCCCTATCACCAGAATACGGCATCAAGGGCAGTCGAGGCACCAAGGCATCAGTACAAAACGGCTCAAGTTCCGTGTGTGAATTTGTCATGAACGATGATATCCCAGCGGGATACGACATTGAGGCTTCACACGCTGGGTGGAGTTACGGCACAGAGATCACAATCTCGAGTCCGTGGAGACATCAAACACCTCCACCGACGGTAAACGAGGGATTGGATGGGATACAAATATCGGAAGAAACAACAGTTCACGTCGAACGCATAGGGCCTTATCCATAATCGGCTCAGTAAAGGAATAATATTAATATTGCTTCATTCATGTCATAATAACTCTTTGCACCGTGAGGCATCTCTTATTAAAACCCCAGACTACAGCTTCGAAGGAACAGTCGATGTATCGCATCCGCAATTGTCGGAAACCTCTGCCTTCTTATTCTCAACAAGAGTACTCTGGTTCACGCTCTGCTCACTGGGCGGTACATCCAGCGCAGGGTTCTTGGTAAAGAAGTTGACAGGCTTGAGGTGCACCTTCAGAATCTCAACTGGCATGACAGGGAAGTCTTCGATGCGTGGGATATGGTTGATACCGAACTGCACCCAGAGCACAATATCAGACTCTGGTGTCAGTGATTCGTTTCTTTGTGCCCAAGTTCTCACGCCTGCGTCTCCACGAGACTGGTTGGTGTACCATCCTCCAGCGTACAGTTCGCGGTCGCGATGTGTGGTGACATAAATATTATGGTCTGCGAACTCAGCGCGCTTATGCAGGAAGCTGTCTTCGTCGCCCATAAGCTTTTGGAATGGCGGAGCCATAATCTTATAGCCCACGGGCTTGCCGTTAATAGGGTTGAGGGAGTTGGGGTTGGTGATCTTATAGACCCTGCTAAGGTCATAATCGATATCCAAACCAGCTGTCTTGTCAATGGTCTTCTCGACAACCTCGTAGCCGGTACCATGAGGGTTTAGGTGAGGATCACGAGGTATTCTGTGGGCTTCGCTGTATACCAACTGGTTTGTATGACCGTCAATCATGGGATCGACTCGTAGGGAGAAGATATGTTGATGAACACCTGCCAGGACACCAGGGTGTACGACAGTTCCAAAAGGCACTCCTGTCTTGTCCAGCTCGTGGTCAATCGGCTGTGTAGACAGGATACCTGTGGCGCGGACTTCATATG